TGTTATCTTCCCATATTTTTCTGTCTACTTCTTGCTCTATGTCCCTCTCCTCTTTTGGTATATACCTTGTATGGTATAGCATACCAGATGCATTCTCTCCAAGTGAGCAAACCATTTCGTTTGCTGTCTTTGTATGTACCAGTTGTACCATAATAATGATCTTTCTCAGCTTGGGTCTCTGGCCACTGACAGTCCCAATCTTCAACATTTTGGCCCCTGAGTGAGCTTATTTGAGTGGCTTTGTTTTAGGACAGTGATTTCCAAACTGTGCGTGCCGTGCCCCTGGGAGCTGCAACCTCTTCACAGGTGCACTATGAAGTATTCAAAGATACACAAGTTTTTTTTATCTCTTACGATAGTCATATTTTTACTTAGGTTAGGACACTGTGGAAACATTTTTATTGAAAAAAGGTGCGGCGACTAAAAAAAAAAAGTTTGGGAAACACTGGTTTAAGATGTAATGAGTTAAAACAATGCCTGTCTTGGACTGAAAGAATGAAAACTATAACTGGAACTGAGGGGATTAGTGTATCCACTAAATGGATCACAAGTAGTTCAGACACGCATATTAAGCCATTGAAACAGATAAACATACTCTTGAGTTGTTTTAGTCAAATAATGACACCAACAAAATATTTAAAGTAGATTGTAAAACATTGAAGCAGTAATAACCAATTCTTTTTTTTCCTCGGTGTGCAGTGGTAAACACTACCGGCACCTTTTGTTGGGCATTATTTTTTCAGCCCTTCTGTAATAGACACTTTGTAGTGAGTACCGGCACCTTTTTTTTTCTTCTAGGAAAAAAGCTCTAATGGTTACTATAAGTATCCTTGATGTAGCACAGCCAAGCATGAGAAGCACACCGGACGCACATGAAGTCTTGTTAACCAATATAGAACTGGCACTATAAACCGCACAACGCTGATGAATATGTTGAGAGGTGAATCTGAGCACCTATGGATGTATCCGGAGTACTGTGAAGATAGCCTAACTCATAACTTATAACTTATCCCTGATGTAGTGGGCATGTTTGTGTTGCCAGCTTAAGCCATCAGACATTTCTGATCCGTACCATTGTGAAAATCTTCATGTATACTTTACTCAGCTGGTTCTTGTTTTTAGCTATATACTTTACACTACCATATATATATTTACATACACTCAGATCTTTTTTTTTTCTGGCGGTGTGCAGCACCGACACCTTTTTGGACATCTTTTTTAAGCATTACTGTAATAGACATTGTTGGGTGAGTACTGGCATCTTTTTCTAGAGAAGAGCCCTGTGTAAACTGTACTTAGCTGATTCAGGTTTTATCACTTCTGATGGCTACCTTATGCATTTACTTTGCATATGCGAGCTTCACAATTTTGCTGGAACTGACGTATTTTTCACTAGTTTTCAAATAGGACACTGAAGGACATTTTGTGTGATTTTCACTGGTACAGGAACAGACCAGCTATGTGACAGCCTGCTGCGGTGAAGTTGGTACCTCAACTAAAGAGTTGAGAATATTTTAGCAGTATTACTTCAAAAATTAACTCTTTGAGTCCCAGGGGCTTTAGCATCACAGGCCAGGTGGTAGTAAAGAAGGTAATAAAATCGGCCCATCATGTGTTCATTGGGCTTGTAGGTAGGAACCTATGAACGTATGATGCGTTCCTTGGGACTCAAAGAGTTAATGAATATGATGCCTGTAGGTAACAGGCACTTACTTTTATTGTTTTGTGTTCAACAGACTATGGCTTTGTGTGCACTGGTAAGCACATTTTGGGTGCTGAGTCTCGTTTTCTCAAGTTCAGATGCTTCTTCATCCTTCTACACTGACAATTACTTGGGACAATCAGTTCCTGTAGGAAAAGTTCATCGAAGGCACCAGGAAGAGGTGCAGCAGGTGAGGATGGCTAATATGCTTGACATTCTTAACCCTATCTCCCTGTCAGTATTAAAAATAAAGAGTCATGCACACGTGGGAATTCTTGGATAAAATCCTTTATAAAACAACCATTTTACAAAGGTCATTAATAAAAAAAATTTAAAAAAAAAAGAATTCAGTGTGTTGATGAGTAAATGTGGTGGACAATTAAGTGTTTTAACAAAAATGTTATAATTGTAAAGGGATGCAGCAAAAATATTATAACAGAAACACTGTTGACCATTGGCCGCATTACTTCCATCAAAATTTCATAAACCACTACATGGCCTGACAATAGCTAGAGCCTACCAGTATACACTTCGTTGAAAATTATTCCTCCCCAGACACTTAATGGCAGAAGTGGTTTATGATGAGTAAAAAGGATAAGGATGAGCAGCAGCGGTAGAGGAGGAGGAAAAGAAGAGGAAGAAGAACAAAAAGAAGATAAAGAAGAAGAAGAAGGAGGAAGAAGAAGAATGTCTACAGACAGTTGCATTGACTAATTGGGTGTCACTTTGAAAGACATGAAAAAAATTGTGATGAAAGTAATATGTAATCATTTCTGTTATTTCTAGAAGCAGCATATTTTCCTCATCTCTTGAATCAGTGGGATATGTGTGGTTCTGTCCACTTTTTACAGCAGTTGCTTAAGGAGAGAAAAAGCCACGACAAAAAAAATCAGGATTACAGAACTTTCAAAGAAGCAATTGCCAGATTTCTTTAGTATTCTATGACCAAATGAAGAAAAAAAAAAACTACTGCATGTTTAGGATTTATGAAAAGGAGTGTGTATGCTGCTTGGGACTGAAAGAGTTGATGAATGTTTGTGGTTTATCAGCTTATTCAAATTAAAGATTTGGACCATCTCTACAGTAGGTAATGGCTGCAGTGGAATATTTATCTTGTGGAATATTCAAAAGTTTCACAATCCTCAAAGTACCAAGCTTCAATTTCTGTGGTGTTTAGGTTTAAAGAAAATAAGCTGTTTCCTGTTTCTAAGAATACGCGAATTGGGAGTAAAGATCGGCACAGCCAAGCATGAGAAGCACACTGGACGCACACAAAGTCTTGTTAACCAACATAGGACTGGTACTATTAACCACACAATGCTGATAAATATGTTGAGAATGGAACCTATGGATGTGTCCGGAGTGCTGTGAAGATAATCTAACTCATAACTCATTCCCGCTGCCTTCAGACAGTGGTACAGGAGTTGCACAGTAGAAGAGGTCAGATCCTTACCACAGATGAGAGGGCTTCAAATGAAAACCCTAAACTGAAAGTGTGGTAGAAATTGCAAGAACCATGTGCCTTCCCAGTCATGAACAGTCTGTGACAGATGTCACACCGTTGGGAATCTTCTTACTTCCATCATACACTTGCTGTACTAGCAGGCCTGCATCACCATACTGGACCTTCATTCACCGATGAGTTTCTGCAGGTTTCACATGCATCACCATACTGGACCTTCATTCACCGATGAATTTCTGCAGGTTTCACATGCATCACCATACTGGACCTTCATTCACCGATGAATTTCTGCAGGTTTCACATGCATCACCATACTGGACCTTCATTCACTGATGAATTTCTGCAGGTTTCATATGCATCACCATACTGGACCTTCATTCACTGATGAATTTCTGCAGGTTTCACATGCATCACCATACTGGACCTTCATTCACCGATGAATTTCTGCAGGTTTCCCATGCATCACCATACTGGACCTTCATTCACCGATGAATTTCTGCAGGTTTCACATGCATCACCATACTGGACCTTCATTCACCGATGAATTTCTGCAGGTTTCACATGCATCACCATACTGGACCTTCATTCACCGATGAATTTCTGCAGGTTTCACATGCATCACCATACTGGACCTTCATTCACCGATGAATTTCTGCAGGTTTCACATGCATCACCATACTGGACCTTCATTCACTGATGAATTTCTGCAGGTTTCACATGCATCACCATACTGGACCTTCATTCACCGATGAATTTCTGCAGGTTTCATTCCTTCACTGATTGATTTGATTTGATTCAAGAACCGACATCACAGCACTCGTGGCATTCCAATAAGTGCTCCGTCCCCATCTTCAGCAGCCACTGAGGATTTCCGATACTAATGGTGCCAGTAGCATTCTGATTAAACGTCTGTCTTGCCTTTCCTCTGAGCTTAGGGCATCTGCCAGAACCTTTCATCACTCCTCGCTGCATCAGTTGCACCAGACTGTGGTGATCCATCTGCTCCTCCGAACCGTACACGCTCTCCCACAAGGCACTAACCACGTCTGACTTATCATGTATCAGTATTTCACCAAGTTGTGCAGAGCTAGCCAGTCTGTCCACCTGTTCATTCTCCAACACACTGGCGTGACCCGGTTAAAAAATCCAGACAATACTCCTCACCCGTGTCCTCCTCAGTAAAGCATGCAACTCTGCACGAAGCATACCTGTTCTGATCTTCCTCAGCATGCTTTCTAAATCAGTTACAATCACGATGTTATTGTAATTTCTATCTCACTTTTAAGGTTGTCAAATAAAGCCCTCTTGTATTTTAAATTTGGTACACAGTTACATCTTATTTCACACATTCCTTCACTGATTAAAAAACAAAACTCATAACAGAACTCTACTCCTCTCTGGTGCATATCAAAAGTTGGATGGTCATTTTCAAGCCAGATCTGTCAAACAAATGTGCATGCAACGGTCATTTTCTTGGACAAGACTAAAGTCCAGAAGTGGGCGCACAACCAAAACTTTTTACCAGAGTTTACAGCTCGTAAACGCAAAGAATAAGAAGAAAAAACTGTGTTTATCTACACCATGACATGCTTAACACTCTTTCCATCCTTAACAACAATATTGAATGTTACCAGACAATAGTAGGGTTGTTGTTAATTCCCATCACACTTTTCAAGGTTTTAATTTGAAGCCCCTTTGTAGTATTCCCCAAAAACCACAGTGGATGATGATTTTCACTGTGGTCCAACTCCATTGTGTAGACAACAGGCTAAAAATGTTAACTTATCATATTTGTCTATACTTTTAGCCATATGTTGTTACCTTGCATGTTTTCAGGAACTGCTTGAGCTGATGGGCTTGTACAGCAAGCCCAAGCCCAAATCCAATGAGAAAATTATACAGTCGGCTTCGAAATTTATGAGGAATCTGTACGAAAGTATCAAAGACGTGGACTCTTCGGAGTATCCAAGTGACGACACTCGTATTCATATCAGTAGCGACATAAATGCCTCAGCTCTGGGCTTGGACCCGGTGAAAGTGGAGGGGGCTGATATCATTGTTAGCTACGTCAATAATGGTGAGGACATTTCTTTGTTGACCCAGATGCTCAGTAGTTGTTCCATTATATGTGTTTGAGAGTCTCTTCTTCTTCTTCTTAGCGTTCGCTGGCTATAAACTCCAGCAGACAGTTTTTGTTTTTGTCCACTTCTGGATTTCAGTCTTGTTCCAGGCATTGAGTTGAGCATATCCATTTTACGGATCTGGCTTATTTATGTTCCTTGCCTCTCAGGAAGATGCTCTGTTACTTAGAAAGAAACACCCCAAATTAGTTGTATTTTATAACATGCTTGGTAGGGATCAGTGAATTTATTCTTCCCCCTATTCTACATGCTTAAAACTCTTGACATCCTTAACAACAGTATTAACAGGTTACAAGACAGTGGCATGGTTATTGTAATTTCTATCTCACTTTTAAGGTTTTCAATTGTAGCCTCCTTGTATTTTAAATTTGGTACACAGATACATTTTATTTTACTTCTTTAGATACCACAGTACTATGAAAGCTTTTCTTACATTTTATATTCATATTCTGTATACAATTCCCACAGCGTGCATGTCAGATGTGACCACAAACACCTGAATACATTCTACAGGCCTGCCTACTATACTTACACCTACGAAGAGAAACCTGGCCTCAAGAGTAAAGTGTGCAGAGCAAGTCATGGGGAACCATAAAGGACCTGCAACTGACATGTGAATTCATAGAGGCAGCCTACCTGATGATCTCTCTGGGGCCGCGTTACCGCAGTCGATAGGAGACTTACTTTCAAAACCAGCTGCGACTTGCTACAGCCCACGGCCGGTGTTTGAAACCGGGCGGTTCCCGGGGTTCACCCAGCCTCTGTGAAATAGGTACAAGAGTTAACACTCTAGGGTAAATGAAGGAACGTCGCTGTAGCTACGGAGTTGCGTGCAGATGGCGACACAGGCGGACAGTTTCTTATCAGCTGTCCGTACTGGTGGCATAGCACTTATGGTTTATAACTGTGTGCAATGACACTGGTTCACATCTCCTGACTTTACCTTTTTTTACCTGACGATCTGACCTGAACATACTAAACTGAATGCAAAGAAGAAGAAGATTTGTATACCTACATTGTTGCCTACATTACTTCCCAAATAGGTTTGTGACACATCATCATAAAATGAGGTTCCACTTGGGATTATTGGGTTATCATTTGCTTGATTCATTCTCATTATCTTTCTTTGTCTTATGAATTGATTTTGTTGTAAATTTAACATACGATTCTTATTGAAACATTGTCTTAATTTATCATCTTCATCCTTTTTCTCCTTTGCAGTTCGAAAAGTCTCAACTCTTCGACATGAGCGAGATAGCACATTCTATTTTGAAGTGCCCCTTGGCGAGGAAATCAAAGGGGCAGAACTGCGGCTTTTCAAGGAGGTTTCGTCAACTTTCACAAGTGGAATATTTACTATTAACTTGTATGTCATCAGACAGGGGCCAGATTGGGAGTAAGTTTCTCATTTCCTTTTACTCAAACTCCGGGCGTTGTTCGCCAAGTCATAAAATAGGTGCCCGATTTGTAATTTTGAGTTAGAGAATGCCGTTTAAAAAAACCAAAATGGTGTTACCTTAGTTAAGTATAATTGTTTATGTTTTGTTGATACAAATGAGAAAGAAAGGAGCATAACGCCATGTTCTTGTGTCTGTGTTATCTCTTGTGTTGAACACACAGATGGACTTCCATATTATGCCGTGGTCTTGTGTCTGTGTTATCTCTTGTGTTGAACACACAGATGGACTTCCATATTATGCCGTGGTCTTGTGTCTGTGTTATCTCTTGTGTTGAGCACACAGATGGACTTCCATATAACACCATGTTCTTGTGTCTGTGTTATCTCTTGGGTTGAACACACAGATGGACTTCCATATAATGCCATGTTCTTGTGTCTGTGTTATCTCTTGTGTTGAGCACACAGATGGACTTCCATATAACGCCATGTTCTTGTGTCTGTGCTATCTCTTGTGTTGAGCACACAGATGGACTTCCATATAACGCCATGTTCTTGTGTCTGTGTTATCTCTTGGGTTGAACACACAGATGGACTTCCATATAATGCCATGTTCTTGTGTCTGTGTTATCTCTTGTGTTGAGCACACAGATGGACTTCCATATAACGCCATGTTCTTGTGTCTGTGTTATCTCTTGGGTTGAACACACAGATGGACTTCCATATAACGCCATGTTCTTGTGTCTGTGTTATCTCTTGTGTTGAGCACACAGATGGACTTCCATATAACGCCATGTTCTTGTGTCTGTGTTATCTCTTGTGTTGAGCACACAGATGGACTTCCATATAACGCCATGTTCTTGTGTCTGTGTTATCTCTTGTGTTGAGCACACAGATGGACTTCCATATAATGCCATGTTCTTGTGTCTGTGTTATCTCTTGTGTTGAGCACACAGATGGACTTCCATATAACGCCATGTTCTTGTGTCTGTGTTATCTCTTGGGTTGAACACACAGATGGACTTCCATATAACGCCATGTTCTTGTGTCTGTGTTATCTCTTGGGTTGAACACACAGATGGACTTCCATATAACGCCATGTTCTTGTGTCTGTGTTATCTCTTGTGTTGAACACACAGATGGACTTCCATATAATACCCTGGTCTTGTGTCTGTGTTATCTCTTGTGTTGAGCACACAGATGGACTTCCATATAATACCCTGGTCTTGTGTCTGTGTTATCTCTTGTGTTGAGCACACAGATGGACTTCCATATAATGCCATGGTCTTGTGTCTGTGTTATCTCTTGTGTTGAACACACAGATGGACTTCCATATTATGCCGTGGTCTTGTGTCTGTGTTATCTCTTGTGTTGAACACATAGACGGAACAATCAGATAGTTAATGGTACCATTGGAATTGGAACTCTTCACTTGCTACTGAAGATGGGGACTGAGCACTAATGGGATTGTCCTGAGTGCTGTGATGTCAATTCTAAATTAAACATTCAACATTCAACAGACAGATGGACTTCCATGTTTAAGATTGTGATGAGATGCAGTGGTGCTGTACAATGCATGGTGATTCCCTAGAAGCAGGGCTTATACTGATCAAGACCTACCTACACTTCTCCATGACATCCTAGAAACAGGTCCCCCACTGGGAGCCAGGCCAGTGTAGATACGATCAATGTTTTCTTCACAACCAAATGCATCTGGTGAACATGAAGAAGAAGATGGTAATAGTGATTAAATTCTCATGGTCAAATGACCCCTGTGTCTTCTCTGCAAAAGTAGTAAACACATGCAGGAATGGCAGTTTTTCCAACACAGGATGGATTGTGATTTTTGTGGGAGTATCGTCTAGTGTTGGAGTCGTCTGCGGATCGGAAGGTGGTGGGTTCGCATCTGACGGAGCCAGACCTTTTTTCAAAAATGGCTTTGACTTCCAGGTTGACCCAGCCTTAAGTGGGTACCAGGTACAGTCCTGCTGACCACATCACCCACCAAGTGTCGATTGGTCCATACAAATATAGGTCCAGACCTTTTTTCTCAATACTACTAAAGGCGTAGAAAAGGGTCCTTTACTTTTTTATTGTCTAGTGTGATTGTGCCACGTCAGAGTGAGGTGATGACTGATAGAGATCACAGCCTTGACCGGCACACTATGCTCGCAGTGTTTTGATTGTGGCAGTTCACTATCCGGGAAGAAGATTTTATCAGCAGAGGTGCAACTGTCTAGAGACCAAACTTGAGAAAAGCGGACGCCAGAAACAGAATGTGTCAGCAGTTTTTTTTTTTTTTTATGTGGAGGAATAAATACATACTGTTAACTCAGTAGGCGTGACCCGGCCCCATTCAGACAGCAGTCATCATTACTGCAATCGTTTGTCATATGGCAAATTTTTTCAAGCAAGTTCTTTAAAAGAAAAAAAAAGTAGAGGACCGGTTTTTTGGACTCCTGGCATTTTCGACACGTCCTAAGATCCCATTTTCAGACAGTTTGGATTCCACAGGTGGGTGATATGGTGAGTGTCATGCCAGCTGTCTTTTTTTCCCAGAATATTTCCTAATACCCATTTTTAGTTAGGTCCACTTGCAAGCCAAAGTTATTATTATATATATTGAAAAAAAAAAAACAACCAAAAAACCAATGTACAGTAAAACTTTATTTTAACATGAATTCCAAAGGACCAAAAAATAGAGAGTTCGTATACAAATAATTATGCTTAACAGGGACATACATTCACCACTGGGACAATTTTTTTTTTCATTTTAGGTGGTATTGTTAAAGGAGTTCATGTTAGCTGGTATTGTTAAAGGAGTTCATGTTAGCTGGTATTGTTAAAGGAGTTCATGTTAGCTGGTATTGTTAAAGTTCATGTTAGCTGGTATTGTTAAAGGAGTTCCTGTTAGCTGGTATTGTTAAAGGAGTTCATGTTAGCTGGTATTGTTAAAGGAGTTCATGTTAGCTGGTATTTTTTTAGGAAGTTCATGTTAGCAAGGTTTTGCCATTGTTGTGTTTCTTCTTGTAAACTTCTCACGCTAATGGCCAGGCGTGCATGTCACGGCTGTAATCGCCGCTGACACTTTCCACTGCAAAAGCAAAATATATTATTTTACTTTTAATTACTATTTACTACAAATACGCCACTTGGCTTACGTCCGCTGAGCATGTATCACTTGTTTAGAGTAGTAGCATGGTGAAAAATGCTTATGCTTACATCACTCATACAGAAATTGTAATGGGTGAAAGCTACCAGTTACCAGTACTTTGATGGTAGCTGTGCACACATTCTCTCAACAGCAAAGCAAGGAGTAGGAAAATATGGTGTGATACCCTCTCCAGTGTAAGTGTTACCTGCTAGCACTTACACATACAAATTGATCACACCTCGCCACTGCCTCACTCACACACACAATAGTCAGTACAGCTTAATTGTCCTATTTGATGAAGTATCTTGACCACATCTTTCCCCAGTGACAAGATCCTAGAGCCAGAATCCAGCATTGATGTCAAGTGGGACACCACAGGCTGGCTGATGTTAGACGCCACCAAGGCTGCAGGCAACTGGACCAGCGGCTCCTACTTAAACATGGGGCTTTATCTCAGAGTATTGGATTTTCACGGTGAGTCATGGATACTGTTATTAACTGTTTCATTGGAGGTGGAGGCAGTCTCTGCTGCCTTTCGCTAGCTTGAGAATCATCTGTACACAGATGCTGTGATTGTCACTGACTCAAGAACATGTTGAGAAAGGTGAAAACAGGCATGCTTCCTGCAGAGTGGCAAGCATCAGTTCAGAGGTCCCGAGTAGTTAGCATCCTTTGGATATTTTCTTCAGGTCATGCCAATGATGTGTTGGGAAATGAGCAGGCAGATAGACTGGCTGGCTCTGCACCACTTGTTGGTGAATTGATGTATGACAAGTTAGATATTGTGAAGGCCCTTTGGGAGCGAGTGAACAGTGCTGAGGCGCAGATAGATCATTTACGGTCTAAGGAGAATGGCACTGCGAGGAGTTACCAGGGGATCTGGCTGACGCTCAACACTTAGGGAAGGATGAGACGGATATACAATCAGATGGTTACTGGTACCTTCGGAATTGGAACTCTTCGCTTGCTGCTGAAGATAGGGGACTGAGCACTTATGGGAGTGTCCCGAGTGTTGTGATGTCGATTCTCAATTCAGCATTCAACATTCAACATAACTGTTTCATCATCATCATCCTCATCAAGAGCCTTGCCGAATGGCATAGGCCGTCATGCCTTTTCTCAACCTGTCATCTCCTGCAACATTCATCAACTCATTAGCTGATAAAAAATGCGGCGGGAAAAACAAAAAGAAACAGAATCGTCAATAAAGAATTAAGGACAATGGTAGACACAGTACTGGTAAATACTTTCATAGAACATCAAAGAATCAAATGGTTTGGTCCTCATGTTCAACGCAAGGCGGTCCTCAGCCAAATCACCTGTAGCTGGAATCGATCCATGTACCTTAGAAGCCCCTTTCCACAGACTTGTGTACTTGATGCTATTCTCATCCTTCCACTTGATGGGTGATGTGGTCAGTATAATGCTGGCCGCTTTACTTTCTCCGAACATTTCTTGCTTCCCAGTTTCAGGCTGGGCACCTGGGTGCTCACATCAGTTACAAAAGGCCTTAAGTTGGTTAGTTAGTAAGTCAGCAGATTGATCTCATTGCACATTAAACCGCTCAGTGTCTAAGTACTCGGATGGCCTCAGTAAATCCTGCAGCATGTAGTGGCTGACAACATTAGTTCTATGTTGGTTTCTTATTCTTCTTTGGCTTCCTGCATAGTGCTCTTGTCTGGCTACACCCCATTTAACCTGCTGTTCTTGCACTCTGGTCAGGTTGCAGATTCACAGTCATCACTTGGTTCTTGCAAACATGTTACTTCTTGTAGAGGATTCCACTATATCTGCCTGGTAAATGGCTTGTCTGCTGTTCACAATAGCTTTATCTGCAAGTCTATCTGCTTGCTCATTCCCTTGCACGCCTGCATGCCCTGACAGGAAAATAAAACTAACCTTTGTCAGCCCTGACCGCCACAGAGACTCCAGCCACTGTCTTCAAACCCAGCCCATCTCTGTCTCTGCCTGACCGCCACAGAGACTCCAGCCACTGTCTTCAAACCCAGCCCATCTCTGTCTCTGCCTGACCGCCACAGAGACTCCAGCCACTGTCTTCAAACCCAGCCCATCTCTGTCTCTGCCTGACCGCCACAGAGACTCCAGCCACTGTCTTCAAATCCAGCCCATCTCTGTCTCTGCCTGACTGCCACAGAGACTCCAGCCACTGTCTTCAAACCCAGCCCATCTCTGTCTCTGCCTGACCGCCACAGAGACTCCAGCCACTGTCTTCAAACCCAGCCCATCTCTGTCTCTGCCTGACCGCCACAGAGACTGCAGCCACTGTCTTCAAACCCAGCCCATCTCTATCTCTACCTGACCGCCACAGAGACTCCAGCCACTGTCTTCAAACCCAGCCCATCTCTGTCTCTGCCTGACCGCCACAGAGACTCCCCAGCCACTGTCTTCAAACCCAGCCCATCTCTGTCTCTACCTGACCGCCACAGAGACTCCAGCCACTGTCTTCAAACCCAGCCCATCTCTGTCTCTGCCTGAGCATACTGATTGAGTCACTGAGAAAACACGTGTGGATGAAAGTTGGTGTCTCAGCCATGTTAGTGCCTTGTTCACTGCCATGACCCTGATTTAAAAAAAAAAAAGGCCTTTATGGGGTCTCAAACATAGGGCTTTAAATCACCAGGCCCGGAAGGCTAACCCGGTCAACAAATGCCTGCAGAAGTTGGATGTGTTGGCCAAAAGGCACAGTCATGCTATAAACAGGCATAACACAGTTACGTCTTCAGGTAAACGTGGGAGAAGAGGATTAAGATCTGCAGACTAGAGCGCCAGCTGATTTGCCCCCTGGGCTTCCTGCTTGCGATAGCCTATTGCTCAATTGACATATACATTTTTTTGTTTATGTTTGCATTTTCAGGTAATTTACTTGACCCTCAAGATATCGGAATTGTTGGGAGAAGAGGTCCTGCTGATAAGCAGTCCTTCCTTGTTGGATACATTGGCATGTCCAGGGAGCTTCAGACGAGAACACGGTCATTCCGTAATAAAAGATGGGCAGAGAATGATGGGAAGTCTTACGCTGATAACCCGTATTCAGAATACACCAGGGCTGGTATGTATTTTGTTTTGTTCTGATTGGAGTAGTGTTCACCTATTTCTTGTTTAACTTCTTCTTGTTTGATTTTACTACTATTGCTGCTGCTACTATTACTAATGCTACTAATACTGTTACTACTGTTACTGCTGCTACTACTGCTGCTGCTGCTGCTACTACTGCTGCTGCTGCTGCTACTACTATTACTACTCCTATTACTACTACTGCTGCTGCCACTACTACTACTACTACTTCTACTACTACCACTACTGCTACTGCTGCTGCTACTACTACTACTACTACTACTACTACTACTACTACTACTACTACTACTACTACTACTACTACTACTACTACTTCTGCTGCTACTACTACTACTACTACTACTACTACTACTACTACTACTACTTCTGCTGCTACTACTACTACTACCTCTACTACTACTGCTTCTGCTGCTGCTACTACTACTACTACTACTACCACTACTACTACTTCTGCTGCTACTACTACTACTACCTCTACTACTACTGCTGCTGCTGTATGGTGGGGTGGGTGGGGGGGGGGGGGGGGAAATTAGGCACAGGTTTGGAGAAAGGAATTTAGAGAGTCAAGAGAAAAAGATAGGGAAGACATAGCAGGGTGAATTGTGGACAGCAGTAAAGCATTCTGCAATGACTCTTGTTTACATTCATTTTGACTTCTCACTCGTGCATGGACAGTCAGCTCAACTGGGGAAAGATGGACTTAAGTACAAATCTTCTGTCGTCCACATTCTGAGCTACCCATTTCGTGGTTGTCATGTTTTCCATTTCACACGGGTTTAGCGATCAAAAATGTTTTGGACTTCTGAAAGATAACCCGTGAATGTCTGATTAGATTTTGCCTTCAGATCAAGGAACTTTTTCCTTTGAACTCGGAGTGCATCTACCTGAGCGGCAAGGAACAACCAGCTGCACACAAATAAGCAGTAAAACGAATGTACATGCAAAACTCAGGCCCTGGCACAAAGCCAAAGTTCAAATGGACGAACAACAAGGACTTTCCGCCGAAGCTTACAGCCGATGCACAGCATAGAACAGATGGAGGACCAGACCAAAAATGATACAGCATGGAAGGATGTTGATGATTGACTTATTTCTAGTGCTGCTTGGCATCTTACTTTTCTCATTTCTTTTTTTTTTTCCAGTGGATATGCTTATAATATTTATAATATAAACGAATATTGTGATCACAAGTTACAACTAGAAGGTCTGAATCAAAAGTAAAAGATGATATGTAACTTAGGATGCTGGGACCACCATATGGTGCCCACACATGGACAAAAGTAGTTCACCGGTCAGCACAGATCATAAGTGAATATCAGAGCTGCCAGAGGTGCCAACACAAACAGTCCACCACTAGACATATAGTATAGTATGTATTGGCTTATATAATTTGCTGTATATCTGCAGGCTATCTGGGGTACAGAGCACACAGCAGCTACCAGAGGTGCCAACACAAACAGTCCACCAACTAGACATATAGTATTGTATGTATTGGCTTATATAATTTGCTGTATATCTGCCACAGCAGCTGCCAGAGGTGCCAACACAAACAGTCCACCACTAGACATTTAGTATAGTATGTATTGGCTTATATAATTTGCTGTATATCTGCAGGCTATCCGGGGTACAGAGCACACAATAATTGCCAGAGACACAACCTCTACATCAGTTTCAGAGACATAGGATTTGATCAGGAGGTACTTTTAATGTGTGTGCATTCATGTAAACATGTATGTGGTCTTTTAAAACAAAAATATTTTCCTTATGTCTCCATTTGGTGAGAGGCTAACTCGTATGAAGATCGTGGGTTTGAGCCCTGACTTTTTTCAAGAAACACCTTAGCTCCCAGGTTGACCCAGCCTTGAATGGGGACCAGGTGTAGTCCTGGGATGTAAAGGTGGCCGGCGTGATTCTGACCACATCACCCAGCAGATGTCGATTGGTCTATAAAATATAGGTCTAGCCCTATATACCCAGTACCCCTGAAGGTGTGGTAAGGGTCCTTTACTTGCTACCCCATGTGGGACCCATTTTTTTGGGGGGGATGGGAATACATCCACTGCTCTTGTATAGGCAGGCTGTGCAAGGCGACTATTTAGTTATTTGCTGAAATTGGATGTGTTGGGCTGAAAGATGCTGATTTCACAGCCTAGCTGTAAACCACAACAGAACATGCCTACCAAATTGTTAAGGGTGAATGCCGAAGAAGAAAAGTGCTGCCAACAAAATCATACCAAGCCACCCATTCATTTAACATTTTCTGTAACCCACTTCATGTCTTCCTTGTGGTATTAATTTTTGTCTTTGAACCATCGCCATTATGCATGTCGTAAGAGGCGACCAAGGGTAGGGTTGAGCTTGGGGTTGGCTACCTCATCCTGTAAAAACAGTAGCCACAAAAACCAACCAGCCATGGAAAAGTCACGAAAAAAAAAAAAAAAAAAACCCCAGCCAACCAAGATGAGTGGAGACTCTTCTACTAGACCGTTTGGAGAGAGCCAAAAGGAGTCTGGATCGTCAACCTACCTCCTCTCAACTAGGAAAACCTCCAGAATTGGCACATGGAATGTTAGAATTTTGTACAATATAGGAAGAACTATGGGAGCTAGAGAGTGAAGTTAAAAAGATAGGGGAGAGCTGCATGCGATAGCGAAGGATAGAATGACTTGGCCTGAGATGGTTGAAGGCCTGTGCTCCATTGGGGGAGCTAAGCTATAAAGGCAGAAGAAAAAGACCATCAGAATTGGAACTCTTTCCTGGCAACTGAAGGTAATTTTCCACAATTTCACTGACCACAATGAATAAATTTGAAATGTAAAAACTATACATTAGTTTTAGCACTATTCCTGATTTACTTTTTTTCCCCCCTCATGGTACAGTTCAAAATATTGCCACTTCTTTAACAATTCGTCGGCGTCTGTGACTTGGGCTTTGCGAACAAACTTCGTAATGCCGGGTTCGATCCCAGCTATGTGCCTTGTGTTCGTTTTAACAGTGGTATCGAGAAGCCGACTGTCCAGAAAGCAGTGGCAAACTACTGGACGTTAATTTGCCTAGAAAAACCACAACAGTAAAAAATACTGGAGTTGGTTCTGCAATGTCCTGTAAAGGATACGCAACTAGCTTTTTTAACTTTAACAATTTAGTCTTGTTAACAGGTCTCAAAAACCAATGCCTGGTGCACACAAAATAAATAATTATTACAATGGCAGACCTCCCTGTGTGGGTTCTGGGGTCTTGTTATAGGGAAAACAAGAATAGACCCACTGTCTACCCAAAAGCATGTCGTAAGAGTCGACTAACTGGGAGCTTTCTTTGAAGTCAGAGTGCATCTGCCTGAGAGGCAAGGAACCAACAGTCTGCATATAAATCAGAGTCAGATCTGTAAAACGGATGCACAGGCAACACTCCAGTTCTGGAACAGGACTGCAGTCCAGAAGTGGGTGAACAACCAGAACTTTCCGCCAGAGTTTACAGCTGGTGAACACAAAGAAAAAGAAGAATGGCAGTATGCAAGACATCAGCTACAACAAATATGTGTATTCACATTATACAACATTATATGACAGTGGCCGGTGTTTATTATTCTAGTTTCATCGTGTCCTAATACATATGCCAGAGAAAGTTGGAGAACTACCAGAGACATAGAAAGTTGAAGAATTCTGAAAATAAATACCTGAGGAAATTGATGATGACCATTGAATGGAATGAATTTAAGAAAAGGCAAAGAAATCAGAGAAATGTTTGGATAATTGCTGATATAAACATTTTAAAGGCACAGAAGATGATGGTATACTGGGCACATTTTAAAGAGAAGGGAAGTGAATCGCCAGACAGGTGCTGAACTGGAGAACATAGTCTGAACCCTTTTGCTCGGTAACGCTTAAAAATAAATTTAATTTGGTCAGTACCCCATAGTCATTCTTGAAAAGGATCCTTTAAAACAACAGTTTTACACAGGTCACTAAAAATATAAATGAAAAAATTTATTATGTACAATCATACATTTTCTTCCTCCAAATATATAAAGATATATATAAAGGGAGTATTCACTAAACATGAATGGAGTAAGGCATTGAATAGAATTCATTCCCTGGGGCTGGAAAAGAAAAATATATCGGGTGACCTGTGCTGTGACCCCTATTACTAAGGCTTAGGGGAACATCTTAAGTCAACTTGGCTTTAAAAAAAAAAGTCATTGGGTTTTCATTGTTACTCCCAATGGCTTTTTTTAAAGCCAAGTTGACTTAAGATTGTGACATTGGGGGTCGCAATGAAACCCCTCTAAATGTTATATTTAGTTAATATATAAACACTGTGCAAGCAGTGGCATTTAACTACACTGTTTGAGAACAGGTCACTGCAGAAATAGCCATATACCATCATTTATGAGGCCCCGTCACAACCAGAGGTGACTAGATTTAGCCTTCTCTGGGTGAAAGTATAAAGAGCTGGACGATGTATGAGTAACTTTATAAGGAAATGTTGATGAGGGAGGCCAAAGATACTGAACCTGGATTCCACCCATTATCTTGAACGGAATAAAGAAGTGGCTCTTGACCTTCCTAATGCCACGACTATTTAATACAGTTCCTCATGTTATGGCCACCCCCCAACCATAGTTATTTTCATTGCAACTTCATAACTTCAGTGAATATGTGTTTTCAAATGGTCTTAGGCAACCCTAAATATTCAGAAGCCATGAGTAGTTAACCTTTTGGCTCGGTACTATGGATATCGCAACCCTTCAGCCTTGATTCCATGATAGGTACCGTAAATCTGGGAGAAAATGTGGCTTTTTTGCCTACCCCCAGGAATGAACCCGGACCACAAGGAGTTCGTCACCCGGTCACTGCGCAGTCCGGTTTAGCCAACTACGCTAGAGAGCCGGGCGAAAAGGTCATTAGACCCCCAAAAGGGTTGTGACCCACAGGTTGAAAACCGCTAGAATAGTGGAATAGATCGTGAACCCTGTGTGACATATTAACAACCTGGCAGTATTGTATGTCCTAATCTGTTTTCATCATTTCATTTCTTTTTTCTTTCTCTCTCTCTCTCTCTCTCTCCTTTTAGTTTCTGATTGCCCCAGAAGGTTATTCAGCCTTCTACTGTTCCGGAGACTGCTCCTTTCCTCTGGGCATCCACATGAATGCCACAAATCATGCCATTGTTCAGACGCTGGTGCATCTTATGGACCCCTACCACGTCCCCAAGCCATGCTGCGCCCCAACCAAATTCGGCACCATCACCCTACTATACTACGATGACAACTCCAGCGTGGTGTTGCGGAGGTTCCGAGACATGATCGTCACAGCTTGTGGATGCCATTAGGTACCTGATCTTATTTTATTTCGTCACTGCCAGAGTTTATATTTGAGCCCTTTCCTTAAAAACAAAGGGCTGTTCATTTGAACTCATTGACTACCAACTTCTGCCAACTGCTTTAGACTTCATTCATCTGGGGTAAAAGGGGGAGAGGGAATAGATTTTAAGAAGCTGTAACTCATCCAGTGTTTCATATTTTGCTGTCATTGTCTTTTCCTCATTTACTGTTGTTCTATCAATGTCAGTGTATTTTGCTGTAGTCTTTGGTATTTACAGATATGTGAATAATTGTCTCTGGGGATTAATATTCATTCTGAAATTAATGAAACATGGTGATTTTGCAGAATAGAGTCTGTGGTGCGTTTCAAAAGTTGTTCCCTCAATCTTTAATGAGTATCTAGAAAACTTCTGAACGGATCAACACATTTATACATGTGGCCTTAGATTTGCTATGTCCTTGTGATGTCAGTTTACAGTTACACAGGTGCTGCTGTTTTCTTAAAGCGGGAAATGTCTTTGATCTTTGTCAGTCTAATAATATAATTTGTATCATCATCATGTAGCAGGTCCTTTGCAGAACATCACTCTCATCAAGGTCTGCCTGAAAGAAACTCGGTCTCTTGCCAGTTCTCCCGCCTCATGTACTTTCATACTCAAGGAGTCACTTATATCCTGTGCCCATCTTCGTGTTGGTCGGCCCCTGCCCCTCCTTCCTGGTACCATGCCTTCTGCTATAATTTTTTCCAATCCGTCGTGGCGCTTGATATGACCGAAATATTTTAGCTTCCGAGATAGGATGCTGTTTATTAGCCAATATTCCTTGATGTTCAGATCTTTCAAGATGTCAGTATTTCTCCTCTTCTTTGTCCAAGATATTCTGAGAATATTTTTATAGCATTTCAGCACAAAAGCCCTTATTCTCTTTCTTAAGGACTGGGAGATAGAGCTCCTTGCTGGTGCTTAACCATAGACTTTTTTTTAATAATTTGTGTATCCCTAAAAAATAGAATATACAGTAATTGGCAAACAATACATGACCTATTTACTTCACTTTTCAGAATAAATGTGCCTTAGTTTTCACACTGATTACCTGTAAAACACTTGCAGTTTGATGTTCTGCACAGTTCACGTCACTTCATTTACAGTAAACATGCTGACTGTATGCTTTGAATCGGTGTCTGTTTTTTCATGTGTCGCAAATAAGGCAAATTGAAGACTGTATATTAGTCTACATTATAATTCCTTCCCTACAAATACATGATAATTAACAGATTGCGTGCTAGATTTCAATAATTTTCACAAAACAGTTTCTGAGTTACAGACTTACAAAGTTGAGCATGACTTTTGGAACTTACTGTAGTCTGCTCTTTCTCATCACCATATGTGTAGTATTTCTTATGGGCATCTTCACTTCCTCATTCCATGTATTTCCTATTTCAGTGGCTGCTTTGTGATTCTTTGTCTAAAAATGTGTTCAGAATGTTGTCTTCTCTTTAATATGAAATTTTTCAGCCTTCTTGAAACATTAAGTCTTGAAGTGGGTGTAACTCTTGTATTTAATATACAAATGAGGTTGAAACTGCTTGTATTTAATATGCAAATGAAGTGAAGGTAACTTTTGCATTTTTTTGGTATACAGAGGAAGGGGAGGTAACTCTTGTAATGGATATCGTGTGTTGTCCATCAAGATGATGATGACCACTCTTTTTCATCAAGTATGAGTACAAAGATGACTAATGAGGCCGATGCGGGCCCAAAAAGTTCTTGGACAGTGAGGACAGGGAATGAGCGTTGTGCCAGGGAGGGGATCTCCTGCAGTCACCTTTCTGTCCATCCTGTTTTTAATAAGTCTTGCTGTTCTGTTTGCTTCACATGTAACCGCGCCCTTGTGTAGAGCTGCACGCCATGCATTTTGATCTTGAGAGGCAGCCTCCCAATTGGTGTCATTCATCCCAAATGCTTTGAGTGAAGACTTCAAGGTGTCCTTAAAGCGTTTCTTTTGCCCGCCTTTGGAATGTTTCCCATTTTGCAGCTCACCTTAGAAGAGTTTTTTTTTAGGAGCCTGTGATCTGGCATGCATGCCACATGACCAGCCCAACAAATTTGATACTGTAGAATGTGGATGCTGGGCATGGCTGCTTTCTCAAGGACTACGGTATCAGGTACTTTGTTTTGCCATCTGCAATGCATTAATTTTCTAAAGGCAGACTGTGTGAAAGTGGTTTAACTTTCTAGCCTGGCGCTGGTATACAGTCCATGTTTCGCATGCGTACAGCAGTGTAGTTAATACAACTGCTTTGTATACTTTAAGCTTTGACTGCAGGTTATGCCACTTCTGTTTAAAACATTTTTGTACAATCTGCCGAAGCCAACGCTAGCCCTAGAGATTCTTGCATTTACTTCGTCATCAATTGTGGCACTCTGTGAAAGAGTGCTACCTAGATAAGTAAATTTACTGACAACGTTTAATCTGTAGCCATTCACTGTGATATTGGGCTCGATGTATCTTTGCCCTGGGGCTGGCCGGTGCATGGCTACAGTTTTATCTTTGTTGATGGTGAGCCCAAAGTTTGTACTTGATATAAAAACTAAGTAAAGGTCACTCATGTAAATGAAACATGGGTACTTAAAGATTTCAATACACAAATGAAATGGGATTATGACAAGAGTACAATTAGACATATTTTTTTTGTTTTTAAATGGACTTGGCCAACCTTAAAAGAGAACAATCACATATAAGTGTGCTTTTCAGCAACAAATACAAATTATAGGGTGAGGGTTGGGGTGACACTTGTATTTAATATGCAACTGGGGTGGGGGGTCTCTGTGGCAAAGTGGTCAAGCCATTTGCCTCGCGCTCTGAAGGTCGTTTCACGGCTACGTCCTTTAGTTCATGAATGCAAATTTTACGGAGATCCCAGGGGATCGTCGTCTGAGCTATGGAGTTCATGCTTTGTGCGGCGCTCTTGGCAGGCGGCTAGTTGTTCTGTGAAGAGAGACCGAGCCATATGGGATAAAACTCGGTGCAGTGAAGTTGATCCTCTTGACCTTAACCTTTTTATGCAAATGAAGTGAGCGGGGTAACTCCATTTAATATACAAATGAAGTGGAGGTAACTTTTGTGTTTTTGATATACAAATGAAGTGGCAGAGTTTTACCCCTGCAGGACATAACACCGAGCGATAAACACCCGGCCACACAAAGTGCCACTATTCGTGTGAGGATCACCCATGACAGGTCCCAGATACCTCATTCAACCCACTGGTTGGGTTATATTAGGGTTCCGGCGACAGCCAGGGTGGGAGTTTCAAATAATGAAAAATTGTATCCCACATGGGGACGAAATGTCATTGACTGACATACACATGAAGTGGGGATACAAATCTTGTGTGGTTTTCAAATGAAGAGGAGGTAACTCTGATATTTAGTATACAATTGACATGGAGGTAACTTATATTTAGTATATATATAAATATGTAGGGTAGATAACCCTTATATCTGGTATACAAATTAAGGAAAGTAACTTTTGCATTTTTTGTACAAAAATGAAGTGGTGGTAACTTTTGTATTTAGTATACAAAGTGTTGGTAACTCATGTATTTGATATACAAATGAGCCAGCATTGAAGCTGTTTGTGATTTTATTTGCATTCCTATCACATGTCGCAGTTACTTTAACTCTTTCAGTCCCAGTAGTTTAGCGTCAGAGGTCCAAGGGGTGGTAAAGAGAGATGTAAAATCGATGCATCTTGCATTTATTAGGCTACTATGTAGGAACTAAGAACGGGTGATGCATTCCTTGGGAAAGAAAGTTAAGCCACTCCATCATATTGCTGCTTTCACTCCTTCTGTATTAGTTTGATTCTGTCAGCTATTTCTGACCTGAACATTAATTTAATTCAAATCACACAAATTTTGTTTTGATTAGCCTTTATTTAGTTTTGTTTTGTTTGTTTGTCTAAAACAGTTTTATTTCTTTGAAGAAACGCTTTTAATTTTGAAGCTGGATATTTGTTCTAAGGAGTACCTAGTAAGCAGGCTTTTATTGTACTTTCTTGTTCAGGCTATTTATGTCCTCTATCTTAAGAGTGAGAAGTTTGTAAAGCTCATTGTATCTTATGAACCACTGATTCAGCCCCATATCCGCACTTATGTCCCCAAGTTTAACTGTGCTTATGTTCTTTCACTAAATGTTCACAATGTATGTTAATACTCAGAGCTCACTGGAACCTGCAGTGCTGTTTGGTACTGTTGACAGTTTCAGCTGTTTGGTACTGTTGGCAGTTTCCACTGTTTGGCACTGTTGACAGTTTCCGCTGTTTGGTACTGTTGACAGTTTCCACTGTTTGGTACTGTTGACAGTTTCTGCTGTTTGGTACTGTTGACAGTTTCAGCTGTTTGGTACTGTTGACAGTTTCAGCTGTTTGGTAATGTTGACAGTTTCTGCTGTTTGGTACTTTTGGCAGTTTCAGCTGTTTGGTACTGTTGACAGTTTCTGCTGTTTGGTACTGTTGGCAGTTTCAGCTGTTTGGTACTGTTGGCAGTTTCCACTGTTTGGCACTGTTGACAGTTTCCGCTGTTGGTACTGTTGACAGTTTCAGCTGTCTGGTACTGTTGGCAGTTTCCACTGTTTGGCACTGTTGACAGTTTCCGCTGTTTGGTACTGTTGACAGTTTCAGCTGTCTGGTACTATTGACAGTTTCTGCTGTTTGGTACTGTTGACAGTTTCCGCTGTCTGGTACTGTTGGCAGTTTCTGCTGTTTGATACTGTTGGCAGTTTCTGCTGTTTGGTACTGTTGACAGTTTCTGACATTGTGCCTAACTATAACCTGTGTGTTATACATATCAAATCAAAATATTATGCTTCTGTTGTTGTTTGTCATTGTTTGTTAATGCCTTATATATCTTTTTATATTTTGAACATCTTGTGATTGTAATCAGATTGTTTTTACCAAGATGAGTTTTTTTTTGTAAACATTTTTCTTGTGGTTTTTGACATATACTTGT